CTTACCATATAAATAATAAAAAAAATAGGTAATATCGGGAACTTTTGCGGAATTTTGTATGGAATTTTATTTTTCGCCGTATTTTTGCCGTTAAAAAAAAATGTTATTTTTCGATTATTTAAAAAGCTTTTAAAAAAATCCAAAATCCATTGTAAAAATTGGTATTTTTTTATTTTGTTAAAAAGGCGTACATGCAATACGGTATTGAAAGCGCCGTTTATATCGAATAATAAAAAATTAACCATTGCTTTCGCGTTTTAAGCCGTATTTACCACTTTTGTAAATAAACGTATAGCCGTTTCCGTAAATTTGCATTGTTAATTGTTTATTTATTTATTGGAAAATAATTAATAGCTTTTTGCGGCGTTTTTAATGCAAAACGTTAAAATCTTTTTTAACGCTTTTTTTATTATTTCCAAAAAAGCAATTAGCTTTTACGCGCCCAAAGTATTTGGGTTTTTATTGGGTTTTTGGAAAATAATGGTACGGAATTTCCAAAACCTTTTCGGAAAATAACCGCAATCCACGCATACCGTAAATACTTTCGTTAATGCTTCGAAAAGTGCCGGTTTTATTGCTAGCAATCCCCCGGTAAAAATCCCCGTTAAGCTTGGGGCTTTTTAATATTTTATGCTTTAAAAGGTTTTTTTTACGTTTTTTGCGGTAATTTCCTTACGGACAAGCAAAAGTTGGAAAGGTAATTTGGGGTATTTAAGGATATCGGTAATGTTTGCCGTTAATATAGGGAAAAACTTCCTTTTTAAAGCTATTTTTTTCGTTTTTTTTATTGCCGCTACCTTTCCGTTTGGTAATTTTAACAACGGGAGTAACGGGAAAGGAAAAGGTTGGTGGCTTTTATGTTTTGCTTATTTGGCAATGGTTTATATGCTTTTAGCGTTTTGTATAATGCTTGCTTCGTACATTGCGGTACGTTACGTATACCTTTTCGTTATTTTAATAGCGCTTTTTCTTTTTTTAATGGCTTTTTTTATTATTGCGTAATTAATTCCCGAACGGTTTGCTTTTTACGTTAATTCGGCCCGGTATTCGTTGCAAAATAATTAAAAAATTTCCTCCGTTTATTAATTATAGCTTCCGGCCTTTCCTTTTAGCTTTGGTACGGTTAGGTTGCGGATTTTTAATATTGCTTTTATAATATCGTTTATTTTTTCGTCGATTATTTAAAAATTAATAAATGGTCGTAACAAAAAGGGGATTTTGTTATTCGCTAAGGATTTAGCGAATTTTTTATTAATTTTTTTCCAATTCCAGCTTTTTAAAGTTAATGCGTAAAAATTTGGAATGGTTTTTAAGATTGTAATTATTATTTCCGTATAATTGCTGCCATTTTAACGCCATTTTAACGGTTATTAAATCTTTAATTTTCCGATAGCCCAAGCTAAATCGATGGTGGTGTTTTTGCAATAAAAAGCGAATTTTATTGCCGCGTTTTGGCAAATTATTAATTGCATATTTTATAATTTCGCTAAATTAACCAATTTAAAAGCCCCCGCGTGCATCGGTGCGTTTTTTAAACGCTTCGATATTTATGCTTTATAATAAAAATTAAAATCCTTTACCATTAAGCTATTGCTTTTTGGTTTTTTTCCGGCAAATTTATCGATAAGTATTATCCAATTTATAATGGTTGTATTTCCCGGAAACGGGAAATAAACCAACCAAATTGTTATATTTTCGTTTTGGGTACCGATCGTAACTTTGTACCAATCCGGTTTTGCTTCGTAATTTAAAATACGTAGCGTTAACTTAATATAAATAATCGCTTTAGTAATGGGGAAAAGGAAAAAAACAAGCTATAATGGTAAAAAAAGGAAAAGCGCGTTGCCTTTTTTTTAGCGGTTTTAAAAGGATCCCGGTGGGTTGCTATGTAATTGCTGCGGGGTAAAGTTATATATATATTGGATTAGCTTTTTCCCGGCTTACAATAAGAATTTGGCGTTTTTTTTCGAATTTTTTGGTGGTTTTTGTATCGTTAATACGTTAAAGCTGCTTTTTTTCGCCAATAATGCGTCGAATACTTCCGGTTTTTTCGCTACGTTTTATTAAAAAATTTTAAGCATTGGTTTTTTCGTTAAAAAGGTCCTTTTTTGCTTTTAAAGGGGGCGGTAACGTTAACGCTTTTTTTTATATAATTAGGTGCTAAAAAATTGTATGTTATTAAATAATTGGAAAAGGGTAAGGCTTTTTTGGCTGGCTTTTCTTGTTACTTCCCGTAGCGGTAAAGGGGACGCGGGTATCGCCGGGGAAATAGGTTTCGTCGGGGGGGTTTGCGGGGGGGGGGTACGGGGGGGAAAAAGCTTTGGAGTGCGTAAGCTTTGGTTTTTTACAAATAACGTAATAATTACGTTTTTTCGTTTTGCCGTGTGGAATTTTTTAAGCCTTTTTATAAATCGTTCGGCCGATTTTAAAAAATTCCTTTTCCGTTTTATAAGTAAGGTTGGTTAAAAAAAGGGTAATTTTAACTTTGCATCGATTTTATTGCGTGTAAAGGTTTTTTCGGTTAGCGGGGTTGTATTTCGAATTATTATTGGTATTTAAAAAAAGGTTGCTGCAAAAAAGCTATTGCTTTTTTTTGCTTAATCGGTTCCTTTTTGCTCCCGTATAAAAGTTGCTTTTTCCCGGGGTAAAAAAGGGAATCCTGCCCGCCCCGTTTCCGGCGGCAATCCGGCTTGCAACGATTTTAAAGTAAAAATTATTAAAATTTCGTAATAAGTAAACTTTGTAAATTAGGCTTTTTTTTGCGTTATTGGGTTTGCTTTCGCACCAGGCAATGTAAAAAATAAAATAAGTATTTAATTTTGTTGCACGGGATACAAAATGCCCCGAACATATTTTTCGGCGATTTTTTTATTGCTTTTTTTTTTTATACCGCTTATCGTTGTATTTTTTTAATCCATACCACGCACACGCCGTAATTTGTTTGTATTGCATGTTTTTATATTCCCAATTTAAATAGCGGTAACATTGCGCCGTGGTTAATTTAAAATCGAAAGGTTGGTATTGGTATACCAATCCATTCCATCGAAAATAATCTTTTTGCAAATTTATTGCGCTTTTTAAACTTACAATTTAAAGCAACGCCGTTACCTTTTTTTGCTACCTTTTTTTTTTATAACGAAACGGTAATTTATTCGATGTTTTTATGCGGGTTTTTGGCGTTAAATGCTTTTATTAGCTTTAATTAATGTTTCGCTTTGCTTTTATCGTTAAAAAAAGGTTAAAGCTTGCTGGCTGGTAAGCCCGTTATTATTAAAGTTATTATTGGTTTGGTAATTTTTAAACCGTTCGTTTGTCCGGTTATATTTTAAACCGCAAAAAGCGCGTATTACGTCCGTAACCGGTTCGTTACGGCGGGGTTACCGTAACTATCCGCAACCTTTTTTATGTTTTTGCTTATATCGTTCGTTTCCGGCCCGGGCCGGCATTTTTTTTCCGTTCGTTAACGGGTATTAACATTTTGGAAATGCAAACAAACGTTTTCCAACGGGTATTGGTAAACCGTTTCGACCCAGCCTTTACTTAGCTTTTTATTGCAAATTTGCTTAATTTTTTCGGGTTTTATTTTTTAATTTTTTACTTTCGGTAACAATAAAAATTTTATTGTTAATTGTAAATGCTATTGCTTTTTTGGCTTTTATTGCTTAAAATATTTTAAAAACGGTTTGCGCTTTTGCGGTTACTTAAATTTAAATTTGTTTTTTACTTTTTTTATTTGCGGCCGTAACTTATTGCGTTTGGTCCTTTTTTTTTAATGTAATTTTAATTTGTTTAAAAAATTAAAGGATCGTTTGGGTTACGTTAGGGTTAATTGCTAAAATTATCGAAATTGCGGTTATTTAGTTAATTGCTTTAACGTATCGAACAAATTCCGCAATAATTTCGGCGGCCGTAATTTTTTTTTTTTTTATTAAGCAATTGGAAATACTTTTTTTGCAAATTGCATCGTTACAGTAATTAATTGGGTTTTTTTCGGGCTTGCGGTTAGTTTTTGTCGTAATTGCTATTGGTTTGGGTAATTCCCGTTGCGTATTGCGTGCTTCGATTGGTTAAAGCTAATAACCTTTTTTATCGACGCCGCGACGGCGCTTTGGGGTATTATCGAGCTCGCTTAACCCTTAAGCAAATTGGCGTTTCCGGTTTTCGTAATGGCTTTAATTTTTCTGTATGTCGTCGTCGTTGTTGCGCGCAAGCAGAAAACGTTTTTTTTTGCTATTGTATTTAATAAATAAAATCCAATAAGTTGGATAAGAAAAAATGGGAACCTTTTTGGGTTATTTATATTATTTTTCCAATTAATTACGAATTTTAATTATTATTAACCATGCGCATCCATCCGGTTTTTTACGTTTTTTTGCTAAAGTTAGCGCTTTTAGGCCTTAAAAGCACCGAGTTAATGGAAATCGACCCCAACCAAAAATGGAAAGTTAAGGCCATCTTTAACAAGCAAACGCATTACCGCAAAAAGCAATACTTTGTTAAATGGGAAGGATAAAAGGATAAGCACAATATATAAAAAATGCAACAAATTTTAAAAATTGCCAAAAGGCTTTGTAAAGGTATCGCTTGGGAAAAAGTTAGCAATAGCTTTGGAGCTTGTAAAACGTTTTAAATTTGGAAAAATTTGGAAAGCAAAGGAAGGAAAAAAACCAATAGCATATCCACGGGATAAGCTGGCAAGTTTAAGCAAAAAAAAAAAAAGGCTAGTAAATGACCAGGCATGGATTGCCCGGTTAATTGCTAAAATTGCATCGAGGGTTAAACCCAAAACCTTTCGTTACAAAAACGAGCGCGTTATTATTGCGCCATACAACCAAAGGAATTGTTAGGAAAAGCTACAATTTACTAGCTTAAAAAATGGCAAGCAAATTGGGGTTAATACCAAATTTTTGCCAATTAAAAGTTAATAAAAGGATTTAAGCAAAAAGGGTATAATTGCTGCAAAGGACGTTTCCAACGGAAACGTTTTATGCAATAATTAATGGTTGCACCGGGAGTTAAACTTAGGATTTCCCGTTACGAAAGCAAGCGCGCTACCATTGCGCCGTACAACCAAAAGGAATTGTTAAAAAAGTTACAATTTACCCGGTTAAAAAAGGGCTAGCGGGTTAAAGTTAAAATTAACCCTTAACGCGGCCCAGTTAAAAAATAAAGGAAAAAAGTCGGGTTGGAAAGAAAAAAGGAAATTAGTCGCTACCAAAGCAGCCTTTTCCCGTTTTACCCGTTCCATTTGTTCCAATTTTTTTATAATTTTAATACCCCGAAATAACGCCCGCAATTACTTTTTAAGCCAAAGGTTTTTTTGTTTGCGAAAACGCTTAAAACGGTTGTTTAAAGTACAACGCTTGATTTTAACAACCCGCATTTCGGTTTTAATTTTTTGGTATTAAAAATCGATAAAACGCAATTATTTAAATAAAAGATTTAAAATGTTGCAATTAAAACGGTTGCAAGCAAAACATTCCGCGCAACGAAAAAATTTTTGCGGAAAAACAAAATAAGTATTTTTTTTAAAAACGTTCCGATAAAAAAAGCAAAAATTTATATTAATAGCCAATGCAAAAACCAAAGCAAAAAGGTTTTTGCGCCAAAAGGTTAAGCGCGCAAAGCGTTTTTGTATTTAACCCAACATTGTTAAAAAAAAGGAACGGTTAAATAATAAAAAAGAATAGTACTTACAATTAACAATGGGAAAAATGGATATAAGCAAGCCAAAAGGGCTTGGCTAATGGAAGGGGGATTTAATGTTACAACCAACAATTACCCGGCCAGGATTGGAAACTAAAAAAGCGAAAGGAAAGCACGCGCTTACCCTTTACCACAAAAAAGCTTAAGTAAACCGTTTGTAATTTGTTAACAAAGTTACAAATTATTTAAGTAATTTGTAATTTGTTAACAAAATTATAAATTACCACCTTGGGAAATTTGGAAATAATTTAAGGAACGGGCTATAAAAAGGAAAGGTTTATTATTGTTTTAAGTAATTTTTAATTAAAGCTTCGGCATTAGTTAAACTTTAGTTAGCTTCCAAGTAACCTTTGGAACAAGCATTTAAACCGCACCCAAATTACCTTGTAAATCCCTTCAATTTGTTAAATTACGTGCTACTGTTCGATACTCCTTTAGTGCCTTACTTTAAAAGCAAAGGCCTAATTGTAACATTACCAAACTGTTTAACCAACGGCAAATACGCTGGTTCGAATTCTTTAGCAATTTTAAATTCCAAATCGTATATAAGCCAAAAAAAATAGCTATTGTATTAAACGCTTTACGATATTGCTGCAAACAAGCGCGTTGCTAATAAGCACAAAATCCTTTTCCCCCCAAAACGGTGGGCAAACGAAACGCCGGCGCAATTTTAATGTTTTTTTTTATACTAACTAAATATTTCCAAACCTATTAACGCGCTTATTAACAAAAGCTATTCCGCGTTTAAGCTTTGTTAAAATTTGTTACAATGCTTTGCCGATTTAAATATCCGCTATTTCCTAGCGTTTTTGCGCAAAACGTTTAAAATTGTTAAAGCTAATTGCCAACCGATTCGGGGGCGCATTTACGTCGAAAAAAAGCTATTTATCCCCCCAAACAATGCCTTTCGATTATAAATATTGCATAAAATGCATAGCTTACCATTTAACGGCTACGCAAAAAAAAGCAAAACATACAATTTGTTGCGAAAATTATATTTTTGGCTAAAACTTTTCCGAAACGTTAGCGTTTTTATCCAAAGTTGCTATTTTTGCAAAATGGTTAAAAAAAAAAAATTTTCCAACGGGCTATTCCAACCGTTGCCAATCCCGTTTAAACTATGGGCAAATTTGTTAATAAATTTTATTAACCCGTTGCCGCCGTATAAACGCCGGTGTTGGAACAGCATTGCGGTGCGCGTGCAATCCGGAAAGGGAAGTTGTTACAAAAGGCTTTGGGATCCTCCGGATCCCGTACGGGCCAACTTTATCTGCCTTAAGCAAAGCAGGGAACCACCCTTTGAGTAATCGTCCCTACGCATATAAGGGGCAATCCTGTACCCTTCTTTTAGCAGATAAATTCCTTCCTCGGTGTGCACAATAATAGGATTTTCCCCCAAATCATTAAAATCGTTGTTTACCTTTACCAGGAAATTTCCAAGCTTTAAAACAGGAGTACCAAACTCTTACCAACAGCCGGGGTATTATTTACACCAATATTTTAATGGTAATAAATAAATTAATAAAAATAAAGCATTATATTTTAATGGATACCATTAACGCGGGCAATTTAACAAACGCTTACTTATCGGTAATATACCGCTAACACGACACCTTTAAAACCATCGTATTCGATAAAAAGCTTTAATTTGTATTTAACTTTTAGCGAAAATTGCAACAACGTTTAAGCGTTACTTTAAAAAAATTGTTAGCGTTTTACCCAAAGTTCGACGGGCAAATGGAAATCCTAAACGCGTATATAAAGCAATATTTCCGTAGCTTTTGCTTTTATTATTAAAACGATTGGGTTAATTAGCTTTTATTAAAAAATTCGCTAGCAATAATTAAATATCGGAAACGACGGGAATTTTACCGTTTTTTGCTAATTACGGGTAAACCCTTTTTATAAAATTTAAACCAATTCCCCCTTTAAATATTAACAATACGCTGGCAAAGCAATGGGAAATCCATAATGCGTTTACGATAACCGATAAAATTTAAATAATTTTCGATTATATTAAAATAATAATAACCGCAATTTAAAAACGGTACGAAAAAGCGGCCAACCGTTACCAAACTAACCCAAGCACGTTCGTTATAAAGGATCGAATTTGGGTAAATACAAAAAACATAACATTTTTAAAGCCAACCTTTAAATTAAACAATAAATAAATTGGCCCGTTTTTTATTACCAAAATTTATAAATAAATTTTAGCCGTTAAATTCCCGCTTTAATACCGTTTATTCCCCGTTTTTTACATTTCGTTAATTTAACGGAACCATTCGAAATTGCCGGAATAAAACGCCATTAACAAAGGATATAACAAGCAAATTACCGGCGTTTTTTTAACGAAAAAGGAAAATACCAATAACAATAGCAAGGAATAATTTTTCGATAAAATTTTTAATTTTAAAAAAACGCGGGAAAGCTTTTAGTACAAAATTAAATGGCCCGTATTTTACGCTTTAATTTAAAAATTTTGCTTTAATTTTAAAAAAGCAAATAACCGCATCCGGAATTTTTACCGTTTGCACTTAAATAAATCCAAATTATTAAATTGGTAGCACAAACCAAAAACGGTACAATTTGTATAAAAAATAACGGGCCCGGCGTTCCGCTAACGTTAAAAGCAATAAATACCGAAACGCAAAAGCCGTTCGAAAAAAGCTTAATTATTATTAGCACAATCTTTTATCGAAATTTTGGTTTAAAAATAACGTACCGCACGCCGGCAATACGCAAGCGGTAAGCCAAAATTAACGCGGAAAAACGGCGTTATAACGTTAAACCATTGCCGCGCGTTAAAGCGCGCAAAAAACAAACATACGCCCGGAAATACCCGAACGCCGCGCTAGCCAAACCTTAAAACCAAATTAAAAAAAAATAACCAAACGCCGCGTTTAAATATTATTACTTTTAAATTTTAAAAATTTATTTTTTAAAAACGATAATAAATTATTAACGGTTGGCCTCGTAGTGCAGTGGCTTTGCACCAGGCCGGTCCCGCTAGGACCACGGGTTCGAATCCCGTCGAAACCACAAAGGACTTTTTGTTTTTTAACCGCCCGCTTTGCTGGGCCGGAAAAAGAAAGGGGCCGCCCCGCTAACGGGCTTTGCCCGAATTAATTTTTACCCACGCACAATCAATTAACAATTCCAACAATTAATCCGATTCCGACCCTTCCAACCCCAACCCTTCCTAGCCCCTTTCGCACCACTTCGGAGGCCCAAAATGCAAAAGGTTAGGCCAAAAAAGAAGTAACGGAAAAGCCTTTAAAAAGGCCCAACCTTACCCCAACGAGCGCACGTACAAATCGACGAATTCGATTACTATCCCTTTTTTTTTAAATATTAACCACAAGCTTTAGCCCCTTTGCAGCCCTTAGCCTTAATTTTAACCTTACCGCCCCAAATAGCCCAAAACGCAAAAGGCCAAGCCAATAGGACGGTAACGGGAAAGAAAAGGGCCGGGTGCTAAAAGGACTAGGTTAAATGCGTAAAAGGGCCCTTTAAGCGCTTTGGACAAGCCTAAGCAAAAAAACCGGCAAAAGACCCTTTTAACCAAAATGGACCCAATTTGTGGCCCCCTCGGCAAAAGGGCCAGCTTGGCAAATTAAATAACAAACCAACCAACCAATTACAAACAAACAAAACGCGGCTTTGTCGGCCCTTTGCAAAGGGGGCTGCACGCGGGAAAACGGCTAATTCCCGGGTAAAGCCCTTACGAGCAATCGAGCGTGGAAAAAAGTAAGCGTTAGCCAAAGCGGTTTAATACCGTTACGGAAGCGCACCGCTAAAAAAGCGGAAATGCAAGCATAAGGTTTTTTTTCTTTAGGCCTAACCCAAAGGTTTTCCCCCATTTGCATGTACTTAACCGCAGCATTAAGGTTTTTTCCATAAATATAATAGCGTATAAATACAACAAATTATTAACGGTTTGTTTGCCGTTACCCGCTTTTATTATAATAACCTTTTCCATTTTGCTTTTTAAAAACGATAATAATAACGAATTGCTAACGGTTTACCCGCCGTTACCCGCTTTTAAAAATAATAACGAAAAAAAAAATTACCTTTTTCCCGGTACATTTACCAATCCTTTTCGAAAAAAAAAATAACCGGAAATTTATGCTAAACGAAAAACATTATTTTAAAAAATTAATTAAAGCAACCTTTTATTACAAGCAAAGGATTCCGGCGCGTTGCTAAATATACGGTATTATTCCAATCGTTCCCGTTTTTAGCAATAACTGCAAATTATATAACATATACAATTTCGTAATATTTTTGGATATAAACCTTTTTAACGGTATGCCAAATTATATATTTCGAATTGCTAAAAAAAAAGCCGCATTTTCGCCCGGTTTTTTTAAACCAAAAAACGAAAAAAATAATGGCAAAGTTAAATGCTAACCAACAAAATTGCAATAATGCGCCGTTAATGCGCTAAAGCAATAAAAACAGCAAATTAAAGCCAATATTAAAACTTTATAAAAAAAAAATAAAAGCAAAACGCAAAAACGCTAGCAAAACGCTTATTTAGCGCCGGTTTTAAAGGTTATTTATGCAATAAAAGCGCCGTTTAACGGCATTAACGGCTTCGAAACTACGCATAAAATGGGTATATATACGCGCAGCACGCGCGCAAATATTTACCAACAAAATGTACACGCTTTTGGCAACGCCGGCAAAATTTAAAAAAACTAACGTTCCGTTATCGATACGAAAAAAGCTTTCGTAAGCGGCGGCTAACCGTTTAAAATCGCAAAGGTTTTTTTTTATATAAAAAAGCAATTGCAAACCAAAACGTTAACAATGCGCCGGCAAATTTTAATTAATAAAATAAATTTTATTACAATTATCCTTTCGATTTTAATATTAATAACATTAAATGCTTGGATAAAATTGCAACCCGTTACCGTTGCGCTAAAATTTCGAACCCGGGCTTACGCAATAAAATTTTTAAATAAAATGTACCAAATCCGAAATATTATTTTTGTACTAATTAATTAACGTATAAAGCGTTAAAAAATAAGTAACGGCGCAAAGCGGATAGCGCGTTACCGTACCGGCGCAAATTTCGCGGGCGTTTATATTATTAATTAATATAACGGAAAAAACAAAAAAAACAAAATAACGATAAAAATACAAAATAACGATAGCGTTAAACCAGCGAATTAAAAAATCGTAATGGTAAAAATGGTAATAATGGTTAAAAAAAAATTAAATAAACGTAACGCAAAACGGGGGAAAAATTAAAAAAACGGCGAAAAAACGCTAACGCAACGCGAAAATTCCGCTTTAAAAAAACGGTAAACGAAGCATTGCAAGCCCGTGCGCAAAAAAACAAAAAAGCGCCCTAAGCAAACGAAGCTATGCACGTAACGCTATACCGGCGCAAAGCATTACGTTAACGCAATTGGAATAATTGCAATTTTGTAATAAGGTATTGTTACGGTACGCGTCGGGGCACCTGGGGAAAAACCTAAGGCCGCACTTTTAGCGCGCTAACGTTACGCTTACAAAACCGCAACAAAACGCCAAGGACGCTTTGCCCAAATAGCTTCCTTTTCGTGCAACAACAAAGCCTTTTTTATAACAATAAGGTGTAAGCCGTGGCAGTATATTGCACAGTAAATTTAACTTTTTTACTATTTTAACTTTAATTAAATAAATAAAAATTGCATTACGTAATAACATTTACTATTCGAAACTTTAAAATTTTGTATATTAAATATAAATTGTTAAGGCGCAGCTACCGGTTTAACACCGCCACGGAGGCGCACCGCCAAAGAAGCGGAAACGCAAGCGCAAGGTTTTCCCCCTTAAGCTTAACCCAAGGGTTTTTCCCCACGCATGTACCTTGCAAAAGCACTAAGGTTTCTTTCATAAACAAAACAAGGTATAAATAAATAAATAAATATAAATTGTTACATATATATAACGTATTTATTTAAAAAGTTATTTTATATTTTAAAATGTTAAAAGTCCTACAACCGCTTTTGCTTCCCCAACCTTGCAACGGGAAAACGCCATTAAATACAGCAAATTTAACATTAAATTCAAACTTTTCGCTTCCGGCTCGCTACCGGACGTATGTCCGCGCGCGAACGCGCTTACGGCGCGGTTGCTAGCAACGCTAGCAGCCCCGAAAGCGGCGGAGCGGTTACCGATCGCTTTAAAGCCAGCAACAATACCACCATAACCAACGCCCCCAACCCTTTTTTAACGCGCACCCGCATTGCAAATTTAAAAAATTAATTAATTAAAATATTAAAGCCTTTCGTGCCCCCCGGCAATACCAAATTAATGTTTAGGATTGTAAAGGAATGGATTAAAACCGTAATAAACGCGTTCGAAACGCGGCCCCGCAATTATCGCAACCATATGCTTAACCACTTTTGCATTATAAAAAACGAAATTATTGTTAAAATACGCAACGCCCGCAAGCAAATTATTAATTACGCTTTGGTTTTAATAACCGGTTTGCCGCAAAATGGCTAAACCGGCAATTACCCGCTTACAATCCGTTTTTACGCATTTTTTAATACCGGCCCCCCCCCCCCGAAATATATTTCCGCGCGTACCGAACGCAAAATTACCATTTTAACCGAAAACGCTTTTTTTAAAATTGCAAACCGCATACCCGTTAAAATTACCATTACATTAATTAAAAAGTTCGGTAATAACGTAAAAGTAACGCGCAAGCTTTTTAACGGTAACGTAATAATTTTATTTTATATAACCGCCGTTAAATATACGAAAAATACCGCGTAAATTATTAAAATATTTAGTAACAAAACAATATATTAAACCCAAATTTATAACGTTATAATTAAAAGCATTTAATAAAACGCAATTAATAATAACAACATTTTGTTGCATAAATTTAAAGCGCATAATATTGGGGCCGAAATTAATTTTATCCATATATAAAACGCCCGGCAACCGGAAAAATACGTTACGGTATTAACCAAAATTACATTCCCCGCCGCAACCCAAACCGCATGCAATAACGATTTCGTATTTAAAAGCGAAATTTTTAACGTTAAACCGTTTGCAACGGAAACGAAAGCCGTTTAATGCTACAAATGTTACGGGTAAAAATATAAATCGAAATTTTGCAAAAAAACGGCCCGTTGCCCGCATTGCGCCGGGCCGCTGCACATAGCAACGGCAAAACCGGGGAATTTTTGTGCCCGTTGTACGGGGATCGATTTATTGCAAAAAAAACGAGCCAAAATGCTGCAATTGCAAAAGCAACCACCCGGTTTTTTAACAAAAATGCCCCGCAGCAAAAAAAAAAATTAAAAAGGCCAAAAACACATTTTTAAACCGGCCGAAACAATTTGCTTTAAAAACGGGGAACGAGCGCGTACCTTAACCGGACCAAATAAACCACTTTACCGTCCATACCCTCCCGCTTTTTGCATTTATCCGCCCCTTACCCGGCCCCCCCTAACCGTTACAAAAAAAGGATAATTTATTTAATTTAAAATTGCTAACAAAACGCAAACGGAACGGCTTTTTACTAAAAATAACAAAAGCAAAAAAAATTTTTTTAGCTAAAGGATAAATAAGCAAATTACGAAAATCCCGCAATAAAAAAACGTTAAGCTTTTCCAAATCCGCTTTTAAAATAAACCAATACTTTACAAACCCAAATTTCGCTTTTTTCGGCTTTAATAAAATAGCGGAAACAAAAGGAATAAACGAATGCCGGGCCGTTAACAACCCAACGGTACCTAGCAATACCGCGGTTACTAATTCCGACCTTACCAATGCGCTAAACCATAAAGCCTTTTTTTTTCCCCCGATTTACCCTTACCCTAATCGCTTGCATTCCAGCCAACCCAATTTGGCTTTATACCGGTACCGTTTAGCTTTTTTGCAACCGGAATTACGTTTACTTTTAGCCAATTAATTAACAATAATAGCAACGTATAAAATTAAACATATTATATTAAAACATGGAAAAAGGCAAAAGGAAAGGCAACTTTTTCTTTTATAGTAATAAATAATATAACATTTTAGCTATTTAAAAACCGGAGCGCAACCAGTACGGAAACCTTTTAAAACCGTACGGTTGCAATTACAAGCTTATTTATTACCAAAAATTTAATTCCAACGCAATACTTTACGTACATAACCGTTTTGCTTTTAAATTATAAACCGCCCGGTACGGTTACGATTGGGTTTTAACCACAATTATTACGCCGAAAAGCTTATTAAAAATATATTTAATATATTTTTTAAATTTTAAAGCAAGCCCCGATTAAGCAACGCTTTTTATTACAATCGCTATTTATTTAACCCAAAAGCATACAATTTTTACAAATAATTTTAATTTTTATTACCTAATTTAAAATTTACACAATAAATATAACGCAAAAAACGAAACCTTTTTAAAATTAGTACGTTGCAAACGATTTAAATTAGCAACGTTTTACGAAAAAATTACAAAAAAAAACGAAAAAAAAAAAATAGCACAATTAATTACGTTTAAATAACGCAACAATTTAAAATGGAATATTTAAAATAAAATAATACGATAAAAAAATTTAACCATTTATCCTAAATATTCCGCGTTTTTTTTCGAACCGCAATAATTTTAATTCTAACAAGCTAAAGGCTGGAAATAAAAAAACGTTAAATTAACAAAAAAATTAGCAAAAGCTAAAGCCGAAATGGCCAGCAAATTAATAACGACCAGGGATATGCATAACGCTAAAGCTATAAATAAAAAAACCGATAAACTAATGCAACAATTAACCCAATTTGCTAACCAGCTAGCCCTTTAACGGAAACCAAGCCTTTTTAACAAACGCGCCCCTTATTAAATACAAAAACTTAACAATTTCCGTAAAAAAGCGAACCGTTTGCAACGCGCTTTTATTAAAAACAAAACGCAAATAGCATAGGAAGCGTACAAAGCCGCAAATAAAGCATTTGTTAAAAAAAAACGCTAAACGATATTTAACCATTGGAAAAGCGTTGTTTCCGTAACGGGATAAAACATTAAAAAAAACGGCGCATTTTAAAAATTTAAAAAATGGGCCCGCTTAAAAAGCTTTTAAAAAAAAAACCCGAATTAATTACCAAATTTAATTAAAACCGGAAAAAACCTGGATACGCTTTGCAATTACCAAAAAAAAGCTAAAATTTTATTATCCAAATTTTTTCCAAACCCGTTAATTAACATTTCCAATATTAGCAAAACCAAATTTCCGAACCATTTTTTCCTAAACCCTTTTTAAATGCCCGTTTTCGTTACCCCGCAAAATATTATAAAAGCAACGGGCCGTACCAAACCGTAAAAAGTTACGGGTTAAAACCATTTCCCGAACGGGTTATTTAAAGCCGTTAAATTGCCGGGCGCAACCGTTATTGCAAAACTTGCTAACGCAATAATTGCTACAAGCTATTTCCCGAAGCGCTTTAAAAAAGCCTTTACGGTAATATTACCCAAACCAAATAAAACCACCGAAAAAAGGAAACAAACCGGGGAATGGAAATTTATTATTTTATTATTATTAATTTTAAAAGTTATCGAATTAATTATAGCGAAACGAATTGTTAATAAAGCAAAAAAAAAAGCATTTTTTCCAACGGCCAAATGGGCAACCAACGGGTTAAAAATACGAAACTAGCAATTTAAAAAGTAATGGAAACGGTAATTGCAATATAAAACCACGGCGTTACCGCGTTATTGCTATAATTTAACCTATTCGAAGCATTTAATACCGTTAACCATTTCCAATTGTTAAATACGCTAAAAAAATACGGTTTTTTTTTACTAATTGTAAAATGGGTAAAAGGGTAGCTAGCAAACAAAACGGCCATTTTGCAATTCGACGGCAACATTTCGAACCCAATTTTAATCCAAACCAAAATCCTTTAAAATTTTCCCTTATCTTTTATACTTTTTATTATATACATTGCATTATTATATAAAAATTTTAAAAGCATTTTAAAAATTTTCGTTACCGGTTTTACCAACAATACCAACCCATTAACAATAAAAAATACCGCAAAAAATACGGCCCGTTTTTTGGAAATAACTTAACCAAAATACAAAGCATAAGCAATTAAATACGGTATAAAATTTAACAATACCAAAACCAAATTAATCCATTTTAATAAAAACGAGGATTCGTTCGTAATTTAATTCGGCAATATAGCGGTAACTTTTAGCCAAACGGCCAAATTTTTCGGGATTTGGCTAAACGCCCGCTTTAATTTTAAAAAATATATAAAAAAAGCAAAAAGCAAGCAAAAAAAGCAATAACTAGCATTTATTTAATTTATTTCGTTAACGTAAAGCAATACGTTTGCAAAAAGAAAGCTTTTTTACAACGTAATGTACCGCACGGTTTTGGCATACGGCGCAATAACCTTCCATATAATTATACCGGCAACGGGCCGCCCCAAAAGCGCTGCTAAATAGCTTTAAAAAAAATAACGCGCGTATTTAAAAACCATTGCTAAGGCTTACAAAACCACTTTGCTAACCAATTTCGAAATTAAATGCTTTACCCCCCCAATCGATTTGTATTTAAACGAAAAAGTATTAAAAGCAAAAAAAAATGGGAAAAATTTGGAATAAAAAATGTAATCCGGACCGGTACCAATAAAGTGCAGCAATATTTCCGATAATTAAAACATTGTAAAAAAATAAAGGTATTATACCCATTTAGCTTGGCAAGCAAAAACCGGTAAGCGCAAAAATGGAACCCGTTGGAACCTTTTAAACCTAAATCCGGCCCCGCCCCGGCAATTACCCAAAAAGCGACCAAAACGAAAGCCAATGCCAAAGCATAAAAATTAACAAATTAAAAGCAAAAAAAAAAAAAATGGCTTAAAATCGAATGGAACGTTAAATGCAAAAAAATCCGCGTTATAGCAACAAAAGCGAACCCATTCCGGCCCGCAACCCCCGCAAACAAACCTAATTTTAACGGTTTAATGCTAAAAGCATACCAAAAACTTATTAAAGCCCAAAGCGTAATAGCCATTTAATTAAAAACGGAAAAATTGGGATTAAAAGCGTTTTTTTAAAATAAAAACGTTTTTAACGTGCATACGCCCCGTTGCCCGTATAAAATCGGGCAACGGGAAATAGCATTCCATTTGCTTGCTAAATGCCCTTTTTATACCAAATAAAGGATAAATTTGGGCTAAAAAAATATAAGCTACCGCAAAGCATATTTCGAACGATAATAATAAAAAATAAGCATTATTACCGGAATCGATACGGACTAGGACGGCCCCTTTTTGCTCCCCCTTTTTTTATTAACAGCACGTTTAGCAATTAAAACAAATAAATTTAACAATTTTAAAATGGTAAAAAGGAATAACCAATTAAAAACGCAAATACCAAAAAAATAAACCGCCCCAAACAAATAACCCAACGCTAAATTAATAACCAAATATAATTATTTTAATTATTAACCCAATATAAAAAAGCCACAATTATACGCTTAATTATACCTAGCAACATTTAATAGCAAATTCGGAAACAAATTGCTGCTTTACATATTTTAACGCGTGCGGATTTTTTCCCGCGCCATTTTTAATACCCGGTTAAAAAACGCTAAATTATTTTTATTATTACCTTATTCCATAACCGTTATATTTAATTGCTTATATAAATTAAAAAATGCAAAAGCAATAAAAACAATACCATTATTAAAAGGGAACCGGCATTTACCAATTGCTAAGCTTGCGCAAAAGCGAATTTTTTAACCTTTAAATCGTTAATAACTTCCGCAGCATCGTTAGCACGCAATAAAGCGTTAAAAGTTTTTAAAGCGTAAAAAGCAAAAGCTTAAAGCATTAATACTATATTGCCGGAAAAGAACCGCATAAATTTCGAACTAGCAACATTAGCACTTATAAAAACCTTAGCGCCAAAAAAAAAAGCATCCGGAAACGGTTAAAAGCAAAACCAGCACCGGTAAATACCCCAAATTTGTTAAGCCCGTTTTTATTAGCACGCCGGAACGTGTAAACCTTAATAACCAATGCGTTGTAAGCCGCTTAGCATTATATTATACCGTTAACAAATTAATAAAGCATAAGGAACCAACAAAATTAAAGCAATTTACCAAATATTTGCGGCAATTACTTAACCCGAAATCGCGCATATCCTTAACTTTGGGAAACGATTGGTAATATTTAGCAAAAAGCACGGCCGCAATACGAATTTTTTTAATAATAACGGAATAAAATTAAAAAAAATACGTTAACGACCTGGCCAAATAACGGAAAGGAAAAAGGAAAAAACGATTTACCGTATTATACCAAATGTTTTAATTAATACAAAAACAATAAAATAATGCGTTCGTATTTGGAAAAACCAATAAATTAACAAATAAAAAAATTACCCGGAATTATAAAAAAAACGAATTAATTTTAAAATAATAAACCGTAATTTTGCTAAATCGCTTTTTCCCGCTTTGCTTTTTACCCAAACCATTAAGCAAATAATTAATGCAATTTACGCAAATGTTACGCGCAAAATTAAATAATTAGCCGGAACGTAAACGGAAAAAAAACGAAAAAAACATTTACGTTATTTAATGGTAAAGCAAAATGCTTTTGGAAATTTCCGTTAAAGCATTTATTGCTTTGCAAATTATAAATTTATATCGTTAAACGAAAAAATTAAATTAAAATTAAAAAACGAAAACGATTTAGCGGCAAAAAATAAAAAAAAACAAATTATATAATTAACGTTAACCCGCGCGTTACCGTTATTATTATTGCTAACGTTAAAAAAACCGTTGTTATTATCGGGCATTTTTACCAAAAAAGCACAAAAAGCGGGCCGGGCAATAAAAGCGTTAAAAACAACGGGATTAAAAAAAAGAAAAGCAATAATTACCGTTTAACCATTATTACGAACGCCGTTACCGCCGCGGCCAACGCGCTTGGCAAAATTGGTTTTAACCGTACCTTTTTTTTAAAAAAACCGTTAATTAACATTGCAACCGATTAAAATTAAAAGTAAAATTGGAAATGGCCGGAAGCAAAAAAAAAAAGGTACAACCAAGCGCTAAAAATAAAAAGCGCATTAAAAAAAATTAAAACAATAAAAATTAACCAAAAGCAATGCAATAAAAAAGTAACGGTTAAAAAAAAAAAGCATTGCATTAAAAAAAAAAAAGTTGGAAAGGAAAAAGTAAAAAAAAAAAAAAGGAAAAAGGAAAAAAAGAAAGGAAAAAAGGAAAAAAAACAAGCAAAGCAAAAGGAAAGTACCGGCAAAAAAAGCAACCTTTCCGGACCCGCCCGGAACCATTACGCCGGCAAAAAAAAGCACAATTACTTTCCAAATACAATTACTTACCCTTAACAAAACTACAAATACCCGAATAGCAAATACAAAAAGCACCGTTACTTTAATAAAAGCAACCAAATACCGGGCTAATAA